TTTTTAAACATTGAAAGAAAATGTTTTTTTTAAAATTTAATATCAATATATCTGGCAGATGGTGGTGGATTAAGTTAAATTTAAACTGGATATTTTTGCGAAAATCGCGGTCTTTTGGTTAAAGTGAAAGGCGGGTCCATTTTTAAAAATCCTTTGCTTGCTTCTAACAAAATTTGCAATCTTGTACTGCGTTTACCAGGGTTTCCTCTTTTTCGCCGCTGAGGAACCAGTGGAGGCGCTTGTACCGGTTGTTGGATTTGAGCAGGTTGTTGGATTTGAGCAGGTTGTTGGATTTGAGCAGGTTGTTGGATTTGAGCAGGTTGTTGGACTTGAGCAGGTTGTTGGACATGAGCAGGTTGTTGGACATGAGCAGGTTGTTGGACATGAGCCGGTTGTTGGACATGAGCCGGTTGTTGGGCTTGAGCCGGTTGTTGGGCTTGAGCCGGTTGTTGGGCTTGAGCCGGTTGTACTTGCACGGGTGAGGATGGTAATGGTGGTGGTGGACTTACCACCGACACCGGAGGTGAAGCAGGCGTTGGACTAATACTTTGGCTTTGAGGTACAACAGGTGATGATAGGGGTGGCGGTGGTGATGCCTGGCGGACGGGAGATGGATCTGAGGCCGCAGAAGTGGAGGGTCTCACTGCAGGGACTTCTTCGGCAGGGAAGCTGCTGTTTAAAGACTCTCGGATGGATGTTCTAAGCCTTGAGCTGCTCTCCTCGATGTCATCCTCGAGCCTGCTCCTGGCTTCTTGGAACGAAATGCCCTGCGACACCCTATCAATGAATCTTGTTGCCAGCAAGACCATCTGTTCATTAGCTAGGGATGTCGCAAGGCAGCTGGCCTGGTCTATAATCCGGCTTCTATCTTCGTTCCTTTTTCGCCGGTCTTCTTGTTCCTTCTGCCTTCTAAATTCGTGAGCCCGGCGCCTTTCTTCCTTGGCATATTCCACCGTGGTCCGCCGCCTTCTCTCAGCCCTCTCATTTTCCTCCTTTTGTTTTCTGACCTAAAATATATTCCAATATTATGATTACACACGTAGGTAGAATGCATTATTTAAAAAAAGAGCAATATATAAGCTCATTCACAGGATACTATTTACGGAGCTCTTATTTTATTACAATCTGAATCTATTTTAGCAATACAATTTTAATAAGATTCTTTTAATTTTTGTTTTCAATTCATTATTTTTTATTATTATTTATTTTATTTAACTTGCATGTTCATAATATTTTGATAAATTTTACTTTTGGATTGGTTGTACATACTTTGTTATTGCGAGCCCTGTTTAAACAAAATCCTAGGTTTGATAGAACAATTAAAAAAAAACTATTCGTTTAGTTTTAAAAAGTTTTCTTACATCTTAATTAACTTCTGGAAATTCATTTTTACTTATTTAATTTAACGTGCACCTATTTAAAAGTACTGCTAATGAAAATGATATACTCACATCCTCCGGTGTCTGAACTCCGTGCGCCGTCCTCCTAGAAGAAAATTCTTAGATTCAAACAATGCACATTATAATTTCTATCATATTACATTTAATAACAAGGATTTTGTATACATTTAGTGCAGTGTGTCTATCACTACAAAAATACAATTCCAAATCACTAGTATATGAAGCAGATTAACTAGATTCTATGTTGGAGCACTTTTTCATAAAAAAATGTTGACATTGTCGATAGTTACCCTCCCACATTGGTGACCCGGACGCAATATGGACACACCTACCTTGGCGGAAACGCCCACTACGATTAAAACACACCTACTTCGATGGATGATCCACATTGAACTGTTGACTTGCTACTTGTGACCGTGACATTATCCACCTCCTCGCACTGTTGCTGCTCAGTCTCGATCACACACAACGTTGGCCTGCATACACTCGTCTGCTAATGGCAACACAGGAGCAACCATGAACAAGAACTTAATAGAACTCTTATGATCAGCAAGAAGTACGGTGATCTTAATACAGCTCTCCCGGTTTCTCACAAAGNTAAAATTTAATAACATTACTTTAAAATTGCATCAATCAAAAACTATGAATTGATTCCAACGCTGTATTTTCTTATACAAATTTGCCTGGTTACAAATAACGTAAAAATTTGCAGACCTTACAATTCTATATTTTTTCAACCTTTTTTAAACTAAAAATGGTTATTAAAATGTATTTTGGAATGGTACTTATTATAGTTGGGAAAAAAGTTTTATAATTCTGAAAAAAATTCTTTAGTTTGCTTAAATTATTAAAATGATGTTTTAAAAAGTGGGACAATTTTTGACAGCTCTTCTGATTAAATCATTTGTACCCTATTTTTCAGATAGCGCTCTTATTTTTATGTTCCAAATCAATTGAGAAAAACGGTATTTAGAGAACGTCTGTTTGATTTTGTAAATTAGTTAAGATTAATTAGCATATTTGGCACTTCAGTGAAATTTCAATCATTATAACAAAATTTAATCAAGCCTATATCTATTTCTTTGATTTAAAGTAAATTACAAAACGTCTGGTTGTAGAATTCAAAATAAACAATTCCCGGAATTCAGCTGATGATTTAGCAAGTCATTCTCAACTATTTAGTTATACATATTTAAATCAGGCAATATACCATATTTAGATGAAGGAGTTCACAAATAATCTATTAACGATATAAATTTTTTTAAATTTTTTTTTTGCTGCTAAGATATAGTGAAAAGACTTTCTAAAACTGGACACAGCTCAAAAAGCATGTTAATGAACACAGCTGAAAATGTTTAGACACGCATTTCAAACTACAAATATGGACACAGCATTTCATTCGGTATTTTCAGCTTCTTTCATAAATATTGTTTTTTCTAAGAATTAAAGAAAAAAAATTTTTTAATATGATATCGTTCATTAGCATAAATTACTTGGTATGTTGTATTAAATTAGTGTTTTTTTCTTTTTAAGGAAAAAGAAAAGATTAAAAATCAGCAATTGTTTATACAAGGTTGGCATAGATGACATACATTTATAATAGTGGTTGTAAATTTACGTCATTTGAATTTTGAGTTTTAAAACTAAATATTTTTAGTTTAGAGTTTTGAATCACCCAAAAAGTTACACCACGACCCCAAAGTCTGGGACTAATATCCTGTAATAGTTATGCTTAGTGTTTAAATAAGTAAGGAAAATTAAGCACCTAATTCTTCTTTTGGTTCTTAAGCTTGAGTTTCAAAATAAAATAGAGCATTTTTTTTTTCTACAGCTGTTTTCGTAAATACTTTAGAATCCGTATAAAAAATGAAAACCAAAATTATGCATATTAGTTTATCAAATTAGTATTTGAGTGGGAGGAAAAAAACAAAACGTTGAGAAAACAGAAATGTTGAAAAACGATTATTATAGAGTTTCACCATCAAGCTTTGATTTTTATTAAATACTTTTTTCTCTACTCTAATTTATACACAACGTTATAAAACGTTAGAAGTGACATCAGAAATTCTTTTTAAAATTGCCATCATATGAACTCCAGAAAAAGAAACAAAAGATTATATTACTATTTGATAAAATAACTAAATATATTGAATGGGTAAACATATTTTCATAACTATAGAAGTTTCTTTTAAAAACTAGTTTCTTTTCTTTCTCAAACATTTCAACTATTGCGGCTGGCAAGATCCTTCTCAAATATCCAATTGAAATTCTCAAAAGGAAATTTCAGATTCATGGAAGCCGATTGAAATTAAGTTTTTGCTCTTCTTCACTGAGCAATAACCGTCAGGAGTAACCACATGGATTTATCAAAACTGAGTAATTCCTCAAAATACAACAAAAGCGGTAATCGATTGCTTCGAGAGCGTTTACATCACAATAAGCTGAACCAGGTTCGAATCCTAGAGATGCTTGTTTGATATGAATACCGTTTCGCACTGATACTCAATGGTAGACAGATCATGTTTTAGAATCCCCTTGCTTTTCTCTTCATGTCGAGGAAGTCCCAATACTTGATCCAGGAGTTCCCTCTTCTTCTGGATTAGGTTCAAAATTACAAATTAGACATTCGTGACTCAAAATTGGGTGGGCTGTCCACCGACGGTTATAAAATAAAACAAATGGGGGCAATCAGATAATTTCTTCTTTAAAAAAAAAATGGAATGTTTGTTCCTCTTAATCTTCAGATAGACGCGAGACTTAATAATGTAGTATTTCCGCATTGAAAAAGAACACTTGTTCCAAAGAAATTTTCATTTAAACCAAATTTCATGAAAAATTAATTCGTGAATATTTAAAAAATAAATAAATAAAAAGTATTCACTTTTGTGCAATAAACTAAAATAATGAATAACCGATTTGAAGAATTTAAATGATTTTAAAAATAATTACAGTCGGACTTCTATATAACGAACTTCCATTTTGCAAATTTCTCTATTTTGCGAATTTTTTCGAGGAACCTAGAAAATTTTGAAAATTTCTTCGTAAAATAACTTCCAAATAGTGAAGTGAATTTTCTATTTAAAGAACTTATCTTTGAGATCCACTTTCCCTATTTCCCAAAATATTTCAGAACATTTAAAACTTGTTAACGCATTTTATGGGGGAATCGAATTTCAAAGCCACTTAACTTTGAAAGAAAACAGTAAAATCACTTTTTATTCGCATTTCAAACAATAAACTCAGACTAAATTAACGAATTTCATCAGTAGCAGTTAAACTTTAGTACGCATGTTTAAAATTACTTTTAATAATAAATGCAACTATATTTTTATGCATAAATTCAGCTTAGTTGAAAATGCTTTGTAGCACTGTTTAGATACAATATAAAGTAATGGTTTTGCTATTTGTTTTTATGAAGTACTTTAACAATATAAAGGTGTATGCATAGCTATTTTAATTATGTTTATGAATTTGAAGCTCTCCGTGTAACTCAAATACGGGTTAGTTCCTTCACGAAAGCAAATTTCTACCAATACTAGGAACCAATACTACCAATACTAGGTTCCCTTGTCTTCTGGATTGTTTTCAAAATATTAAAGCTACTTAATTTAACATTAGTAGCCGAATGGTCAAAAATTTTATCGTCTGTTCAACGACGGTTTGTTTATATAAAGTTATTAAATTAAAAATAAAAAGGTAAAGCTTATACTGTACTTACATTCGTTTTCGAGGACTCCCTGCAGCAGAACCCGAAGGCCCTGACCCAGAACCCGAAGGTCCTGCACCAGAACCCGAAGGTACTGGTTCCTCACTGGAAGAGGAGCTACGTTTCATCTTCAAATCTAAAATTATCAAAAATAATTTTAGCGATCACGAAAGTAATAAAAACTTAGCATTTAATAAATGTTAAAATAATTCGCATTATAAAATGGTGAATACAGATAATATCTGGTCAACATTTCCAGTAGATAAATTATTCATTTGCATTTCTGAAATGATTGACATACTGTCCTTATTAATGCCGATTTCTATTCTTGAGATTTGAACTATCACTATCAGTGAACAATTGAAAAAAAATGTAGATAGCTGCAGAAAAATTATACAAATTTGTCATTTTTTGCAAATATCTTGTTTATTACTTGTGTGACCATGAAAAACTAATTGATACAAGACTGTTTTAAATTATGAATAAACTAAATACAAAACTTACCAGTGAATAAGAGTTGCCAAACTCATATATAAATACGTACTGAAAACAAAATGTGAATGCGTGAACATGAATTTCGAGGAAAAAAATTAATAAATAGCTTTCAAATAACGGGAAACGCTATGTTTGATTTTTAAAATTGCATGAATGCGAATGATTTTTCATGGCTTACTAACTTCGGTGAAGGTGATTCATTCACGATGTTTAGCATTTAAAGGGCATGAATATAAATTGTGAAGTGCAATTTAAAACACTTGAATGTGAATCATGTTTTATTTTTAACTCACTAATGAAGGAAATCGCTATATTTGGTTTTTAAACCACCGTGTGAATGCGAATAGCGATGTGGGATTTATAAATCACGTGCCTAAACTGCATATTATTTATATATGAAATTCTTTTGATACGATGACTCGGGTTCGGATGTGCGACTAGCTAAACGAGATTAAATTTCGGTTAATAATTTCTAAATGGAGACAAAATGAATAGCAAAAATAAAAAATAATAAGGTTCGGGAAAAAAGAGAAGTAGTGAAACATAAATCAAGTAAATATTTATCGTAAATCACTTTAATTTAAATCACGATGTTTACTACGTAAATCCCGTAAGGACGATTTTTGATTACGAATGTGTTAAAACGCAATGTAATAATGTGCAGGTGTAATGCTATTAATTCGACGACTTTGGATCGCAACAGTGACTAGCATATTGAAATTAAATTACGAAGCACGATAAATAAATCGGGTCAAAATGAATTACAAAAAGTAAGATTCGAAAAACATGTCATGAGTCATTAATCACGTAAATATTAATCGTACATCGCGATGGTGATTCCACTTTATAAGCTGCAATAACTGCGTAAATTGTGAAAATAAGATTCGTAATTCAAACGGAATAAAAGCTAATCTTAAGAACTAAGTTTCGTTTAGCGATAAAATTAAGCGTAGAAAATTGAACAAAAACGATAAAACCATAAATCTTCCTTATTAGCAAAATTAAAATAAGAAATATCAAGAATAAATTGATTATAAAGATTTTAAAATTCGAATGAGCTATCGAGTGAAAACGAAAGTTATATATGTATTTAAAAGAAGAAAAAGGTTCATTAAGAAAATCCGCCAGTGAAGCTTTTTAGCAACATGGAAAAAAAAGAAATTCTTCAAATTAGACCTTTTGGGAAAATAGAAAAATTTGCTTTTTCTCTAAATACCTTAGCTTTTAAGTAATTGCCGACATCAAGAAATCGCGTTGTCGTAAATAAAAGCAGGTTGAAGATTAATTTCTTTTTCAAAAAATATATAAGGAGGGGGAAAAAAATAGCGCGGGGAGTCCCTCCGCGCGGAAGAAGTGAAACTTCGTAATGTGGAAATGAAAATAGGAAGGGGTAGAAATTTATTTTTAGTGAAATCATATTGTTTCTTTAAGACAAACTTTATTAACAATGCTTACAATTCACAATTGATCGCATCTTTTAATTATCATTTTCGAGTTGAGAAACATCCAAATCTATAACATTTACAATGGGATTATGATAACTAAAGTAAGATACGAAATGTTCTATTTTTTCAATATTTCTTGCAAAAACTGCATCGATGGTAGATTTCCTCTCCTGCGAGGATCATAGGCCGCTCGTTGCCATGGTAGCGTTTAACGCAACCTTGTTGGAAGTCGCATTAGAAGTTACACTTCAAAAACTCATCCCTGCTCAAATGAATGAAAATGAAATGAAAAGAATATTTTATCAGATTATAGTCCTCTTTGTTAATGAATGTGTGATGAATGCAATAAAAAGAGTTTGAACTACGATCATCAAAACACTCAGAATTTCAAGAGTTTGAGGTTAATTTAGATTTTGTTACATTTTTGCAGTTTTTGGATAATATATCTCAGAAAAGTTTTTTTAAAAAAATACTGTTTTTATTTATTTTTTAACAGCTAAATTTTGAAAGAGGTACGTTTTTAGGCACTTTATCTCAACCCTATCAACCCGGTTACAGCTACTAAATAATATGGAATATTGATTGAAAAATTGTCAATTGTTTTTTAAAAGCTATGATGTATATTTTTTTTGTAAGTAAGAAAATATTTTGTAAGTAAGAAAATGTATATATACATATACATATACACTCTGCTTAAATATATATAGATATATAATATTAACAAACATATGCATGAACTTGTGTAAACTAAATAAAAGAAAACTTAATGTTTATACTAAAGTTTATACTATTTAAGCAGGGCCGGATTAAGCGGGGCCCTAGGCCATTCAAATCTTTGGGGCCCCTCGATTAAGTTCTTTTTCTCGTATGTTTTTTATTTATTCAAATATAAAACAATTTATATATCTTTTCATTTAAGAAAGCATATTTAAAATTAAAATAAATAATAGTAAATAAAATTTTACTTTATTTTTTTAAATTAGAACTAAAAAATAATCATAAAATTTTGAAATTTTTTTTATATATATTTGAAATTGTTTTTTTTTTTAAATCCTGGTTTTTCTTAATTTTTTCAAATTTATTATCAAAAAATCCATTTTCAGGGGGCCCCTAATCATTGGGGGGCCTCAGGCTATGGCCTAGTCTCGCCTAGGGAAATCCGGCTCTGTATTTAAGAAGTGTACAACACTGAAATTTCATTATAAAATTTAATTCATCACTTGAAATCCAAGTTTTTTTTTTAAATTAGCCTTTTTATCATTTGATATCCTGCATTTACTTAAGCACTATCGATTTTTCCTCACGGCCTGTCAGTTTACGTTCTTTTGCTTTTCTACTGTATAATAAGAAAAGAGAGAAAGACTAGATTTTATTTTTTTTTATTTTCAAAATAAATTTCTTTCTGCTATCAAAGCGTTTATGTTTTTATTTATTGTTTAATTAGTAGGGAAAAAAACTACCATAAATTTCTTGGAGTTAAAATTTTATAGCTATATATTGACAGTTAAGAAAAAAGTAATTTTAAGCATATTGTTACGGAATCTGTTTAAAACTAATTTTTAATGCTCAATCTTAAGATCGTCATCTTGACAATGAAATGGTAATAATTGCGGATAAATTGCAATAATTTCTATTTCTCTACCTATCTATCGATCTATCAATAACTAATCTATATCTCTCTCTATCTAAAATTTGAATTTTATTCCTTATTTTTTAATTCACTTTGAACTTATGTATAATTTGGCATTTATTTAACTATCATACTAATTTTGTTTAAATAGTTATCAGCATGTTTGCTTCTAAGCAGACAGATTTCTTAAGAGAATATAAATCTTATGGTATATTTTATCGAGGTTTCTCAGAATTCTGTGCAAATTATGTCCTGCAGTTATTTCATCCTGATCAATAGATGAAATACGTGTATTTCCAAAACTAAAAATATGGTTACTTTTCTTCTAAATATGGTTGTGTCGTCGAACATAAATGAGTGTCATCTGGACACGAGATACCCGGTAAAATTGGCGAGGTATCCAGCACCGGGTCTCAAACCTAAAAACGGTTCCAGGTACTCGATACCGGGTAATAGAATTTTTCACAGGTCATTTTAAAGAAAATGTGACAGAAGTACCTGGTAATTGCTTGCCTACAGTATAACCATTCGTTATAAAAATGATAAGTGTAACGATGTAGACACAGATACACAGTACGATGAACAGTACAGAAAAATACTAAAACGGAAATATACTAGAAATAGTTTAGATTTTAAGCAAATTTAACTATTTACTGACAATCGCTGAAATACTACTCCAACAAAGCATGAAAAATCTTAGTCGTCTTTGCTACAAGACATTAGCGGACGTTAAAATATTTAAATTCGATAAAATAATCATCTAATACTTATGAGTTGAAACTGATAATTCGGTTTTATTTAAATCTTTTTTTTAATAAAAAAGATCAAATTTTGAATTTGGGAGAGTGAATAAAAAGGAGGGAAGGGATAAATAAGCACAAGTGAATAAGTGAGACAAGCAGGTTTTGCAATTTTCAAGAACGCGGATTTATTTAAATTTTTTCATAATGTAAGTGTTTTCTCCGGTTAAATTCTTTGTATTTGTTACTATTTTTATGAATAATGTACGATTTTTATCTTTGTCTCTTCTTTAAACAAGATCATAAAAAATATTAACTCAAACTATTCTATTTTGACTTAACATTACATATTACAACATATCGCATTAACATTACATATCGTTAATATTAAGTATTATTATACAATACATAGTCCAGAACAACGTGAACTGAATTGAAAATCAGAATTATTGAATATTTATTTCCTGGGAAATATTCAATCTTAAGATGCAAGTTCTTGCATCTTAAAACTCAAGTCTTTTAACATTTAACATTCAAAGCTTTTAAACTGAAGCTTAAGAATTATGAAGATGGCTTGAAAAAATTCCATTTTGAATTTGAACTCAGATTTCAATGCCATTTAAACTGATTTAAACATTTTTTTCATGCCTTTCAAAGTAAATTGTGAAACAGTGAGATCATATTTGCAGCTAGAATTGAGTTGCAATCTAGTAATCCTCTGAAGCATTTGTTTTTAAATATACCAAAGCTTGAGTTTTACAAATCATTACCAAAAGTTGTTTCCGAAATTTAATATCTCATGCCCAGAAAATCAGTGC